TTTTTGTAGTGGAGAAGTAAACCTAGCAGGAAGGACACTGTCTTTCCTTAGATCTTTGTCACAGGGAAAAGCAGAAAGCTTTCCAGGGTTTCTGAAAGATGACGGAGAATTTAAAATAGGATATCTGATGAGGAATGCAAGCTGGAGATAGTCTTAAAAATCAGAGTACAGTTTTCAAATTGAATACAGTTTACTCATCTGTTCAACAACTAAAGGGCAAATTTTAAAGCTACTATTAGATCATTAATCAATTTAGTATTAAATCAAACTTCCCCCAAATCAAACCTGCCTTAGAAGTTTGTGGAAAGGGGTATGTGTACCTCTGGGACATACTGTCTGGGCAGAACACCCCTGCACTGACCAGCACCCATTTTTTTAGAGTGGTTTTAGGTTTACAGAAAAATTGAACAAAAATACAGTTCCCATAAGCCCCACCACAAATTTCCCCTTATTATTAACATCTTGAATTAGTGTTATAACTTGTGACAATTGATGAACCAGTATATCATTATTATTAATTATTATTATTAACTAAAGTCCCTAGTTTCCATCGGGGTTCGCTCTTGGTGTTGTACAAATGTATAAAGACATGCCCACCATTACGATATCATACAGACTAGTTTCTAGGGGCCAACAGTAGCAGTTTCTTTCTTTCTTGGTTTGTTTTGAGTGGTGCCTAATTTCATCACCAAATTGTTCCTGCTGGTCTGGAGCAGGGGTTGGCACACTTGCTGGGTAAATATTTTCAGCTTAGCAGGCCAGCGAATGAGTGAGCGTGTTGTACAAATGTATCATGACATGCCCACCATTACAATGTCATACAGGCTAGTTTCACTGCCCTCTAAATCCTCTGGGCCCCACCTAGTCATCTTCTCTGCGCTCAAACCCCTGGCAAGCACCGACCTTTTCGCTGTCTCCATAGTTTAGTAATTTCCAGAATGTCATATAGTTGGAATCACACGGTATGTAGCCTTTTCAGACTGGCTTCTTTCCCTTAGTCATAGGCGTTTATGATTCCTCCAGGACTTCTCATGGCTTCATAGTGCATTTCTTTTGAGTGCTGAGTAACATTCCACTGTGTAGATGTACCACAGTTCATCCATTCACCTATTGAAGGGCATCTTAGCTGCTTCCTGTTTCGGGCAATAATGAATAAAGGTGCCATAAACATCTGTATGTAGACGTGTTTTCAACTTCTTTGGGTAAATAGGAGTGCAATTGCTGGATTGTATCAATGTAGAATTTTTAGGGTGATTTGCAAAGATTTTTCCTTGGTCAGTGGCTTCAATCAGAAACATTTTTTTATTGAGGTGTGATGTACATACAGTCAAGTACACTATTCTTAAGCGTTCAGCTTGATGAATTTTTATACGTGTGTACACGCGAGATCAAGATGTGGAAAGTCTGCAGCATCCAGAAGGCTCCTTGGTGGCCTTCCCGGTCCCTGCCCACTCAGCCATCCCGAGACAGCGCTGCTCTCCAGCATCACCACTGGCTCTGCTAGTCAGGCAGCTCCCACGCTGCCACTTCTGAAAGCAGATTTTTTAGGGGGAAAGGGGCCAACAGTAGCAGTTTGTTTCTTTCTTGGTTTGTTTTGAGTGGTGCCTAATTTTATCACCAAATTGTTCCTGCTGGTCTGGAGCAGGGGTTGGCACACTTGCTGGATAAATATTTTCAGCTTTGCAGGCCAGCGAATGAGCGAGCATGGCTGCGTTCCAATAAAACTTTATCTGCAGAGACAGGAAGTGAGCCAGATGTGGCACTTGGGCTGGTTTGTGAATCCAGGATAGAGCAGGACTTTCCTTTGTGAAATTTCTGTCCAGGCCCTCTCTCAATCTGGGCCCGTGTGTCTTGGGACAGGGGTGCACATGTGAAGGCCTCCTCAGGAGACGTTCATGCGCGTTCCAGGTTGAGAACCTCTGCGTTTCCATCTAAGGAGGAAGACAACAGGTGTCCTGGGGCCCAGGACTCTGAAAATGCATTTTAACTTAAACAAAAGCCCATTGAGACTTTCCACCTTGACAGCACTTTGATTGAGTTGTCTCATTTCCCCCTTTCGCCAGCATTCTTCCCACCTCCTCTCCTGGAGATGACAGGCTTCCCTGGGCCAGGTGGAGGGGGTGTTGGAGACCCGGAGGGAACGCTCCGAGTTAAAGCCGAGCAATGACGGTGGTTCTTCAGTGAAAGCATCGGGGCCGGGGGAATATGGAATCTGGAGTCTTGGGGAATCCCTGAGATGAAAAGCCTGCCCCCGGGGAGTGAGAGAGGGAAAGTTGTGGTTAGAAGGGGAATTTTCCAGTGTGGCTCCTCGAGGTGGGACAGTTTCGAGTGACTGAGGGCTGAGTTAACAACAGCTGTTCACAATTACCACGCCCGGGCTGTTTCTAGCACTTCATACGTGCAGCTTCACTTGATCTTTTCAGTATCCCGGGATGTGGCTGCTGTTGGCATTCCCATTGTACAGAAGCAGAGACTGAGGCCGAGAGGTCACATAACTTAGGGAAGTCTGTGGAGCTACTCAGAGGTTGGAGCCAAGACCGGAGCTCTGGTGTCGGGCACCTCTCAAGGGGCGACCAGGTGGGTCCCTGGGAGGGTAGAGTTGAAAGCCAGAGGCATTGAGAGGTGGAAGTGACTGTCAGTGTGTGTGTTTGCTCTGCAGCTGCGGAGGTGGCAGGAGAGAACACTGGGAGGACAGGAGGAGTGGACAGGCTTAAGCCATGGCCTTCAAAACTCTCACATTAGTGTTAGCTGGGGGCAAAGGCTGGGCAGACTCTGGAGAGAGACTGCGTGAGGCTTGGAGGGTTGTCCAGAGAGCAACCTGCATAAGACAGGATTAAAACAACGCTGGAAAATGCAACAGGCATTGTTTTCTACTTGCTTTGGGCTTTGTGTGACTAATAATTTGATTGGATGATAATAATAATAATAATAATAATAATACCTCCCAACTCAACAGAACTTTCCAACAATTGGGATTTTTTTGTGTTTTATTTCAGGAAACCACAGCCTAAAAAGAAAGAAAAGTAGTGGGCAGGGGATTTATTCGAATACAACTTCCAGGTTTTACCCTGGACCACTGCACACTTGTGGTTCTCTGACATTTTTTAAGTCTGTACTGTTCTACACAGAGGACAGATGTCCCAGGGATCCTTAGAGGGCTCGATTACAAGTTTTGACACAACAAATATTTGCCAAGAATTTTAAATGTCATGTACTGTTGGGGATATAAAATGATCTAAAACGTGATTTCTGCCTTCAAAGAACTTTCAGTTCTGGCGAGAAGACTCGTTTATCTTCAGCGTGAAGGGGTAAAATTGTATTGAGACAGTTTGTTGAAAATCCTTAATAAAATTTAAGGCGAAAAAGGATATAAGAGATTCCCAACGGTCTTGTCTTCTGGAACAGTCCAGACTTGGAAGTTCCATGTGATCACGTCCCCCTCCCCCCCTTAATCCTTACCTGAGGATCTGTTTTTATTGATTTTAGAGAGAGAGAAACACGAAGTGAGAAACATTAATCAGTTGCCTCCCATATGTGCCCTGACCAGAAATTGAAACCTCAGCCTTTTGGTGTACAGGATGATGCTCCAACCACCTGAGCCACCCGGCCAGGGCATCACGTCTAATTCTGAAATGCCAGGTACCCTCCTCAGGCTGGCTTTTCCCCCAGGCTGCCAGGAGCGCTCAGCGTCTGGAAGGCACAGAGAAGCGTTCTGGCGCATGGCTGGTGCTCGGGCATGGCCCTTCTACCTTTGGAACGCCAGGGGCACGTGCAGAAGTCCTATAAACTCCGCCTCTGAATCTTAGTTCATGTTCCCTTGGGAGTTTGAAACCGTACAGTTCTATAGGAGCCCCTAGTTTGCTTATTCTGATCCCACTTCGTTTTGGGAAGACCCAGCAGGCTCGTCCCCCTGCAGGTCTGCTGGCTGCCTCTCTGTCATCCTAGATGTTGCAAGCTGGCGGCTGGTGGGCCAGGGCGATACTCAGCCTGCATTATTTTATTAACATCATTAGTAGCCATCATTTTAAAATCCTATTTGCCATCACAAGCCTGGATTTCTAGCTTCTTGTGAAATGCTGGATCTGGCAGCACTAGGGCAGGTGTGCAGTACTGGAGGGAGGCCCCTCCCTCCCTAGCAATGGGTGGCACTTTAATTGCCAGCATCCTCAGGCTTGAGCTGTGGCTTTCTTGATGTTGACTGTTTTCCTCTACCTCTGCTCTAACAGAAGTGGATTCCTAAAAAAGAAATAGAAAACTATGAGTGTCTTCTCTTCTATCTGCCCCACGTTACCCATGGCTGTTGCCTGCCTGACCCCTACAGGCATTTGTTATTTATCTGCCTCAGACAAGTGGGTGTACCCTCATTATGGATCACCCTTGGGGCTCTCATCTTTCAGACCCATTTTTTAAAGCATTTGATGTAGGATGAACACATGCCCCTTGGTTCTGTGTCATTCGTGCCTAGAGAGGCCCAGTGAACAAAACCATCTCGCCCCAGATTAAATTTCATCATTCAGGTACCACTCGTTATGAGCAACTGTGAGACCTGCCGTTGGCACGTCATTCTCATTTCCCTCTATCCAGGAACATGCATTCCCCGATGACACGAGACAGCACCCATGGGCTGCACGTGGTCTCACCGCCCCGTTACTGGGTAATAACCCAACCTTTACCTTTAGGGAACTAGTCACTATCGCTGCTAGATGGGAAGGCAGGAGTGATTTCACTTCAAAGGTGGCCCATTTTCAATGAGGGCAAGTGATATTTGCAATCAAATTAGGGGAAAGCACGGGATTCTTTGAGAGAAAGAAAAAGCTAGTGTAACAATGACTGTTACGGGCCTTCTAATTTGGTGATGTGTCTGTCCTTGGAGCTGCAGCCTGATTAAGTTTGGCTTGAAATGTGCCACAGAGAACGTGGACAGTCGGAAACCATGGAGCAAGCTCCGCGACTGCCCTTTCGGCCCTTGGAGTGAGGGGGCCTTCTGGGTTCTTTCCTAGGCACCCCTTGGCCACCTTTTTCCACCTGTTTTTCCGAGTGAGTGCCATCGTCACCTACGTGTGCTGTGACTGGTTCAGCAGAAGCTTTGTGGGCTGTTTTGTCACTGTGCTTCTCCTTCTGTCCTTTGACTTCTGGTCTGTGAAGGTAAGGCCCCCACCTGTGATGCCGTTGCTCCCGAGACACGCAGGCCACGTTTCCGGATGGTGACTTTCCCGATGCAGGTGGCCAATGATTTGAGCCAAGAGTACTCTGGTTGAAACTGCTGATACACACTTAAGAATGCTGAGCCAGAGTCAAAGTTACAGGAAAAAAATAAATCGTTTAGTTTTGAATAAATGGCTTCAGGATATTGGTTGTCATGGCTGCAAATATGTGCCATGTGAGGATGACAACTCTATATGGCTTTGGATTTTTAATAAAATTTACACATAATATACAAACATTTAAATGTTCTATATAACATTTAAATGCCTTCCCATGTATACATTTGGGGAGCCTGTCACTTTTTAAGGTAAGCTTAATTAAAAATCGGAAGACTTGAAAACACTCCGAGAAACTGCCACAGTTCAATTCCCTTTTTCTCTGCTCCCAGTACAAGTTTAACTTTTATTCACCAACGAATAGGCAAGGACTTTCTCTATACCTATGGCCTGCTGAGAGTCACTCTGTCCCTTTTCCTCAGAACGTAACCGGGAGGCTCATGGTGGGCCTCCGCTGGTGGAACCAGGTGGATGAAGATGGGAAAAGCCACTGGATTTTTGAGGCCAGAAAGGTAATCCTAAGACAAGTCCAACCAGAATGGGGACAAGGCCATGGGAAGTTCCCACAGGTCCTGCTGGGCTCGTGCAGCTCTGATGCCCGCCCTACACCAAGCCCGCTGCTGCTGGTGCCCCGGCGCGTAACAGGAGCACGTGTAAAATCGATGACAGTGGCGGCCTGAATCACTTTCCCGCAGGTGTCTCCGAACAACATCGCTGCCACGGAAGCGGAAGCCCGGATCTTCTGGCTCGGCCTCATTATTTGCCCGATGATCTGGATCGTGTTCTTCTTTAGCACCTTATTTTCCTTGAAGCTCAAGTGGCTGGTAAGGCAACGCCTTGACTCCGACGTTGCTTCGGCATCTGTACAGAACCAGGGGTTCCAGGAGTGGATTATTTTTTATTGATAGATTTATTGAAATGGCTGTATTGAGATAATTCACATACCATACAATTCACTCATTTAATGTGTACAATTCAGCGGCTTCTAGGATATTCAGTTGTGCAGCCATCACTACAATCAAGTTCAGGATGTTTTCATCACCCCCGAAGACAAGCTGTAGCCTTCAGCCATCACCACCTCCCCCATGCCTCTGTTCACATGGCCCTGCACCCACTCATCTTTGTTTCTATAGATTTGCCTATTCTGGACATTTCCTGTAAGTGGAATCATAGAACATGTGGTCTTCTGTGACTGACTTCTTTCACTTAATGCAGTATTTTCATGGTTCATCCTTGCTGTAGCATGTATCAATACTTCCTTTTTGTGGCTGAACAATATTCCATTATATGGACAGGCCACATTTTATTTATCCCTTCATACACTGATGGCCATTTTGGTTGTCTCCACCTTTGGCACATACGAATAATGCGAAGAGAGGAGTTTATAGAAAAAGTGTATGACATCCTAAGTAGGAATAAGCTTGCCTCAGAGTTCTGAAGTTTTATTTCAGAGCTACTGTATTTTGTTGCCATGACCTGGTTCATTCCTGAGAAAACGCAATATCCACAGACAGTATAAGCAACAGCGTGGTTAAAGCTGTGGACTCCGGAGTTTGGATCCTGGCTTGGCCAGGCATCAGCTCTTGAACTTTGGGCAACTTTAGTTTCTCTGGGATGATAATGGCACAGACTTCTCGGGTTGTTGATGATTAAAAGGTGTCCATGAGTATTTGTCAATGCCCAGTAAGGTTGGCTGTTACTTTAGGTGAGGGCCAGAGCCACCGCTACTTGGTTTGGGAGGAAAATTTCAATATATGCTCAGAAAGCTGACCTTTGCTTTTTCCGAGCGCAGGCCCTCGTGATAGCTGGGATTTCTCTCCAGGCTGCTAACCTGTATGGCTACATCCTTTGTAAGATGGGAGGCGAGAGTGACATCAGCAAAGTCACAGCCGGTTTTCTGTCCCAGACGGTGTTCCAGACGGTGAGTGACTGAAATCTGGCTCCGGGACCCCTGCTCTCCAGAGGCTCAAGTAGAGGAGGCCTGTTGGCACCTGGGGTTTCTAATGTTTTCCTCATCAGCCAGGCTGCCCGTTAGTTTTTTAAATGTACAGTTCAGTGTCATCTAGTACATTTACACTGTTGTGCAACCATCCACCGCTAACCACCATCCATCTCCATCCAGAACGTTTCCATCTTCCCAAACTGAAACTCTACCCATTCAACAGCGGCTCCCTGTTCCCTGACCCCAGCCGCTAGAAGCCAGTTATACTTTCCGTTCCTATGATTCTGACACCTCCAGGGGCCTTCCATACATGGAATCACACAGTATTTATCCTTCTGTGACTATCATTATTAATTTCAGGTGATTTTAAAAACTAAAATTAAGAACCACAATTTTTTTTTAACCTCACATATAGTTCTAGATGTGAGAAATAGATCTTTTAAATTTGACCAGGCTCATCCTGAAGTGGTTTCAACCATATTTAATTTTCATAGAGCCACTTCATGCGCTTGGTACATTTCAGGTTTGCTCTGGCCTTGAGTCAGAATCAGGCCGTGCACAGGTGGCGACTGAACACCGTGGCTGACTTTTCCCCTTGCAGGCCTGCCCAAGTGACTTTGAGAAGCCTGGCCTCGAGGGGCTGGAGATCCACAAGTGTTAGGTGAGAGGCGGGATCAAGGCAGGGGTCTGGATGGTGCAGGGCTGGGGGCTTGTGAGGAGCTCCCCTGGGCTTGGCTGTGCCTGGGGTCTGGGAAGGCTTCCCCCAGTGCTGAGTGGCCAGATGCATAGCCAGGCAAGAACCAGCCTGTGCACTGGGCATCCCTGGGCCTTTGTGATCTCATCGCCCTTTACAGGGGTCCCACCCTCCTCACATTGGACATGTGCAAATTCGATCATATGTGTAGGCATGAAGCAGAGCGGGGAGGGAAATGAGCGAATGAGAGGGAAAGAACAAGGGGATTTGCCCACCCTTCCCTCATACCCTAAGACGGAAAACAGGAATTTCCTCTTCCCTCAGCTGTCTCAGTTCCTGTGCATCACACAGAGTGAGCCTCTCCTGGCAATGTCGATAATTCTAGAGTTCACCTCTGTCTTTCCTGTCAAATGTCTTGCATGGCACTGGAAGTTACTGGGTGTAGTGTAACATGACTACACAGGGCAGACAGACCCCAGTTCTGTTTAAGTGGGTGATCTCAGGCTGCTCAAGGGTGTTCTGACTACATGTAGCTGCATCGTATGCTAACCTCAGAACAAGCCCTGGCTTGAGGCTCCATCGATTTTCCTCAATCTGGAGAGTAACTGTGGACCATGCTGTTTAAAACCGTGACTGTGTCCTTTGCACTGAAGCCACACATCCATCCCTCTGCTTCCTTTTCAGGCTTATTCAGAGGCAGCAGTAGCTGAAGGGAGAGGTTCTGTCATCAAATGAGCTTCCAGCAGAGAATTCCATGACCAACAAGCCATTGGTTTTCAGTGAAGCAGGCCTTGGGGAAGGTTTGAGGAGACGATTTTATTTTTTAAATGGCACATTTATAAACAACGCCCTTTACATGTGTTGTAAAGAAAATGGTACAAGTATTAGATGATTAAAGTGTCTGCTAAAGTGACTTTACACCGCACCAGAGTCTGGTCCCTCTCTGCCTGTGGCCCCACTTTGTGCCCGAGCGGTCAGGACGTGCTGGATGTGCTACTTGTGTCCATGTCCCCCTGTGTTTCAGGAACTAATGAGGCTCTTCTCTTCTTTTGGCTGATGGAGATTACAAAACTCTTGGATTCCTGCAAAACAAGGGGGCAGGCAGAGAAATACCGAGGCTCCTCAGTTCCCTAGGCAGCCCTGCCTGGTGCTGACCAGGCCGCCTCTAGACGGGGGTGGAATCCCCAGATGGCTCAGTTCCCTAAAAAGCCCCATTTCTGTTAATGCCCTGAATCTTCAAAGTGACCTGGATACCACACACTGCCCACCCGCGGTTATCACCACCAGCTGATAACCTTAGTCCCTTCTGCAGATCAAGAAGCCTGGGAATTATGTCTTTACCCTCCACACCATCTTACTAGGCAGAGAACCAGCACAGAACAAGACTTAAGACCTTCGACTACTGACGCCTCTGCTGCACATTCAAGGCCTCTGCTGGCTGCCCATTGCAGAATCATGCCTGCACGTGGGTTTGGTTTGACTCACTAGGCTTTGTGGGGCTTTTTTCTTAGTTTTATTTTGCCAGCTTTACTGAGATGTATTTCCTATGCCATCAAATTCACCCTCACTGTGTCTTTTAAACTATGACTTAGTTCACAATATGGACGTACTGAAAGGTTTCTCATAGACTGGCTTCCTGGGCTGAGGGAGCCACTCTATAGGTCATCCCAGACCCTAATGTCCTGATTGTCCCCAGCTGAGGCTGTGTGGCAGTGACCATTTATGATCTTAAGTCACATCTTCTCACACCCAGCCCACTGTGCTCATTTCTGTCACTTCCTAGCCCCATAGCCATCTGGATTCACAAGACTCACAGGCACACTTACTCTGAATTATACTTCTGTAGGCCAATGCGGCTGGTGAATCTGGCGCGTCCATCAAAAAAGACCGTCCTTCGTCACAACTCTTACCTTAAAGAAACAAATGAAAGAATTAAATCCCTAAAGAGAACAAAGTGGCAACATGACATGACCTTGGGCTCTTTCTGTGCCTGTGACATTAGGAAGCTTCTGAACCCACTGCATTCATAATGAACAAAGCTAAGAATGAACATCAGGTGAGGGGATGGTCTGAGAGGATCTCCCCTGCCTCCCTCCATGCAGCAGGGACCCTGGCCAGCGTTTCAACACTGCTGAGCCTCACCTGGCTGAGGGTGTTTACTGTGTGCCTACAAGTCATCTGGGTGGTGTATGGCAAACACAGGTTCCAGGGCCCCACAAAGGGCAGATTCAGCAGCTCCTGCGTGGGCCCAGGAACCTGCATTTTAAAAGATTAATTAGTTCTTTCAGTAAAAAGATAATGAATGTAAATGGTAAAAAAGTATGGTATACAAAACGTTGGACCATAAAAGGTGAGTCCAAAAGAAGCTACCAGTGTTTCAGATGTCTTTCTAGAAATAATATGTGCACATAAACCTGCCATATATATGCACATACGCACCCATATACTTAAAAAAAGAATGGCAGCATAATACACATGTTCTGCCTACTGCTTTTTCCATGTATAATTTCATCCTGGAGGTCATTCCACATCAGTATCAACTGTCAATCTTTCACAAGACAGTCCACTCCAGTGCCCTCCTATGGACTTGCAAGTTGTCTCTAGGATGTCAACCCGGTGTCCAGGTGAGCAAGATGCAGAGGCCTGCCCCAGTGGGCGTGTGGCATTCTCGCCTTCTCCATCTGTGTGCCCACCCTCGCTCTGGGGTAGAGCCCTGCGGTCAGCTTCTCCACCCCTTCCCCCAGATGCTGAGCACGGATGGAGAAGCAGAATCAGTGGTTCCACCACCCACAGCTGCTCCCCAACCTTAGTGGACCCTGGTGAGGTCAATTGTGGAACTGTCATTTCCTCAATTTCCTTAGCACACTGCCCCACGGGACAGGGAAACCCAAGTGAGGGAAGGAGCCCCAGGTGAGAGGGGGATGACAGAGATGGAGCTCCCCTGGGAACGTGGTGGAAGCTGTTTGGGAAGCCCAAATTCACAGGAGAGGGACTTGGTCTGGGAAGTACAGGTCCCAGAACAGTCCCCTTAGGGTCACTTTGTTCCTATCCTGGTATCCTCCCTGCACCCTGGCATCTCCCTGAAGTTTGCTGCTCTCTTGGCATCTGCCTGCATGTTTCACTGCTTCTCTCATGGGGAGGGGGAGCTCCTGGAGGTGGGTTCTGGGGCCAATGCCCCAAAGTGTGAAGGCCCCGCTCAGCGACAGAACTGGGGTGTTGAGACTCACCCACCTATGTGTGGGTCCAGAGGCACTTTGCCAAGGAGAGGGATCTTCAGGTCCCGGCACATGACCTCTGCGCCCCCAGTCGTGGGTGGGAATATCTGAGACTCTTTCTGTGAGGCAAAGTAAATGGGGGGAATCATGACTTTGTTTCAGAATCATAAGGCTGGGCCATATTTTAAACAAACTTTTCAAAAGTGTCCATTTTGAATGTGAAACACTAACTGCCAAAGACTTTTCATTAAATCAGCAGTAGAGAATTGTAATTGTGATCCCATTTCTGGAAACAATGGGGAAGCAGAACCGGCTTCACAGAAACCCCCAGAAGGGGCTGGTTAGACAGCGCCTTACCTTACACTTGGGGCAGACGAAGCTGCTCATGTTCTCCACCACCCCGATGATGGGCAGCTTTACCTTGTGACAGAAGCTGATTTCTTTCCGGACATCCTGGAGGGACACCTCCTATCAAGGTTCAAAAGACCAGTTGTTTCAAAGTCAAAGTACAAGAAACAGAACGTGTGGTTGTGGGATGGTTGCAATGCAGTGGATCATACTCATAAAGCCTTAGGGATGTGCGCCATTTACTCAATGAGTATTTATTTAGTGCTGACCATGTGCTAAGCCCTGTCCTAGGCACTATTTCCCACAAAACCCCAAAAGGATAAACCTGAACAGTCAAATAGCAAACGTACAATGAATCTATAGAAAAGTGACCTTTTTGCATATCTCTGTCTACTTTCTTGTCAACATACTATGCTGAGCCAAAGTGGGCATTATTTTTTAGGTCAGGGGATGGGAAACTAGGCCTGTGTGCTAATTCTGGCTGGCTGCCTGCTTTTGTAAAATTCTTCTGAAATATAGCCATGCTCATTTCTTTACATACTGTCTCAGGTAGCTTTTACCCTACAATGCTACAGCTGAGTGGCCATGACAGAGACCATATGATCCCCAAAGACTAAAACATTTACTATCTGGGCCTTTACAGAGAACTCTCAATGCACACTTCCCGGTGTGAGTACTGAGTATAATCAGTGCCTAGTACCCTCCCACCCTATTTCCCGTCCAGTGTTATTGCAGACATGTGTATCCTAGCTTGCTGTTGTCAAGCATGGCTACTCCTTAGCACGTGTGACTAATAGTCACTGGCTCCCAAAGGCTCACAGCTTTGAGTCATCTATTCTCCGGAGGCACACATTTGGGTCTAGGCCTCTTTGAGGCTAGGGTGCAGGCAAGGCATTTAGCTAGAAAGTAAACTGGCCATGACATAGTCTCTGCATCTTGCTGTACCTCTGTGGTTCTCTCCTCGGTGTCCTGTAATTAAGTCTGCCAGTGCTGGATGGGAAGGGCTCTGAGGAAGTAGGTGTCCCCAGCCTGAAGTCACATTTTCCAGAGAGGTTCTAAACAAAGCGCATACACGTGGAGCGTGCCCCAGGGCTTCCTGAGGAAGTGCCAGCACCTGCTTGCTCTGTCCCCTCTTCTTGAACCCTATGGGGACTCCATGTCTCTCTTCACAACAAATGTGGTATTGGAGAAGCCATCTTTGGGCCAACTAGAATTTTGTTGTTTCTTAATAGACTTTACTTTTAGAGCAGCTTTATGTTCATAGCAAAATAGGCCCAAACATGGCTTCTCATAGGCCCCTTGCCTCCACACACAGAAAACCTTCCCCACCACCAACGTCCCGAGCGGTACATTCCAGCCAGACTGTTTCCTTTTAGGTAATTTCATTGGGACCAACTCATCTTCCCTCCACTTCCACCCCCGGGCCAGGTGCCCCCCGCCTCTAGCCACCTAAGTGGTATCTTGCTCTGCCACATGCCCCCACATCTCTCTCCACAGGGAACCAGAGTGATCTGACAGACACGATCCTGTCACAACACTCGCTGACCCAGCCACCTTCTCGAGGGCCGCTGTGCCTGTCACACCCTAACATAGCATCACCCATGCGTCCGTGTGTGCAGCACCCACCTTCCTCAGTGAACTGCATAGGCCAGGAGGGAGGACCCGTCTGTTTTATTGCCCTGGTGCCCAGCCCAGGGCCTGCATGTAGTGAATGCTCAGTGAGGGCCTGGTGAAAGAGGGGGGTCATGCTGCCCGACTCAGGCAGACTAAGGTAAGCCCTCTCTATTCTCTTTCTTGGGAGTGGGGAAGAGTATTGTAAAGAGAAAGATAACTGAAGAGAATTGGCTGTTGGCTTCTTGAGACCCTTAAGATCAGGGGCACTAATAATAAAGCATAGCCCAGAGCTGACCACATTTACTGCTGTGGGACTTACCCAGTCTGGGTTCAGCACAGCCCCGTGGCACAGCCTCTACGTGCCTGGTACATGAGGAGCTGGCAAGGCCAGCAGCAGCTTACCCAAAAACCCCCATCTAGCCCCAGGCTGGTGCTGTGAAAAACTGGGGACAGTTCCTGGACTGTTTTGAAATGCGATAAAGAAGCCCTGCAGGCCTTAGGGACCCAATGCATGTGTACAAGGTGACCACGGGGTACAATCTGAATTATAACAGCACCAATGGTCTCGGGGAAATTAAAAAGGCAATTCTGAACTATTGGACCAAAAACCCAACTGTGGAATGCTTATTTGCCAACTGGAAGTGCCTGGACCAAAGATAAGCGAGGTTTCTGCAGAGACAAACCAGGCCTGCGTGTTCTGAAGAGCCCCCTGGAGCCCAGGGTCTCAGGGCCCTGTGAGGA